CCATTCGAATTTTCATCACCAGTGAAATCATCATCTGTGGCCATTTTCAAATATTTTAAATATTTTATTTTGATGTTCTTGATCGGTAGCTTCTGTAACGTGCATGCACTAAATCAGTTTCACTCAACAATGGCTGTCAGTTTGCATTGAAAATAGTCACGTGTGTTGCTATTTTCCCAAAAAGCTGGCACCAGTAGTTTGAAAAAAAAACACCACTCCCATCGAGTCTGCCTATCGACTGGAGTCTCGCGAGACCTTCGTGCTAGGATCAGCATTGTCTCGGTAATTGATAAACGGTCTCGTTCTCGTGCGTAGCCTTAAGTGCATCTGGAGCTGTGAGTTTTTCAATTACTATATATTTTCCAATAAGATTGTCTCACGGAATAATTTATGTATTTAAAGTTCGACTAACAAGTACATGTTTTTTAACTAGACAGTCAGAACAGATATGTTTTGAAAAGGACAGTGTCCTCGGCACAAGACAATATTCCTGTGTAAATTCAAAAAATAGTGGAACCATCTAAAGATAATTTCATTCGCCCACATATAAAAAAATTCTTTCAGCAGGATAAAATTTGTTCGATCTCGAGAAATTTTTAATTAGCGTTCGTAACAAAAACTCTGTCCTTTCCCTAATTCTATATAGTTTGTACTGTATACATTTTTAGAACCTTAATTTTATTATATTTATCTTAAGAAAAAACACATCACTTGAAATCAATTTATTATGAAAACACTCGAATCAATCTTCTTATTGAAGAAATCGTTGTGACTCTGAGTCAGCTGACACTTTCAGCTTCCTAAGCCCTCTATTCTATCGATTGAGATATATGTCCGGTATAACATTTTGAAGCTTACGAAATTAGCTTTTTAACGGTTACTGTTTTGTCTCGATATGTCGGTCCATACCGGAATTATATCGTTTATAAACGACGGTAAAATGGATGCAAAATTTATGTCACGTTATGCACGCAGTTTTTAATTAGAGATGTTTTTTCAACATCTGAACTAATGATACGCAACCGGTATGGTAGTGTTATTTGAAAACTAGGAAAATGCACTTTCATGGCACTGCATTTATTCCCCTGTCTGTACGATGTACCAATTCCTGAACATTCCTATCTATAAAAGGTGATATGCCAAAATTAAGTTATCGAGAGTAAGATTTCGGCTAATTTCATGTGTAGGACTTCTCACGCGTAACCCTATTTCTCATTGGCCATTCCGAATAAAATTCATTTCTCATTGGTCAATTGGCTATATAGTATAATCAATACAACGGAATTGAACGACGCGCGCGTTCCGTCTCGTTAAACTTGAAAATGACATGTCCTGTAACGCTTGGTCATTTTTATTTAGGCCATATTTTCAAACTCTCATCGCCCCCGGTACATTGTGTATATCTAGTATCATTCGAAAGCTGCCATAATACGCTTTCAATGATGCTACTTTCGTTTCATTGTTTTCCTTGGTTTTCGGATTATGAACGCTCAAATATAAAAAAATTTGGTTCATTTTCTTCTACGTGATACTTTCAGCTCTCAAGACTTCCAATGCCATCCGTTCAGGTAAACGTATGTTATACCAGTTGCAACTTCAAATTTGAAGCTTATTATACCCGCTCCAAATAGTTATCGTATATCTCGTCATACGCACTCAAATTATCATTTTGCGCATATCGGTTAGGTGTGAAATATCATATCATATTCGCACTTTTTGTTGTGTTGTTTCTACGATTTTGTAATATGGCACTCTCAATCTTATAATAAATGTGTAAATTCTGAAACGCTTCGGAATTTCCAGTTCGGAAACAATATTTTCTTTATTATTATAAAAATTCAATTTTTGATTTCTAAATATATCCTATTGCTATTTTCTCTTAAAAAATTACAATCATGCGTCAATGCGCATTACCTCAAACGATTCATTCAAATTTATAGATTAAGTTTGCTCCTCACCATATATATATATATAAATAGATATGGCAGTCAGTGTGGGTGAAATCGAATTGGGCTTCATTATTTTCTAGAGATAAAGCAAATTCTATATTAGACTCGAAATAAAGAAAAGAAGTTGATGAGGTAAGTAGCTGAAAAGAAAAATCGCGCAACAGATGAGAAAAATTAGCGATAAGCAGCGATGGATTTGTTTTCCTTTTTTTGCTCGGCACGGTATCTTAGGATAAATGAAGATCTGAGATTATTCCTCCTGGTTTGAATGGAAAGTGGAATGAAACAATGGATCGACAGCTTCATTGCAGTGGAGGAATTCCGTCCACCATTAAAATCAAGTTGGAACGAAATAGTATATTATGCACCCCCGGGAGAAAACACTTTTTGACCGTTATGCTACTTTATGTCCCAAAGGATAAAAAGCGTGATAGAACCGAGCGAAGCGACGTTAGGATTGCGCTTTTTACTCTCGCTGGGACATAAATTAATTTTTGTTAATTGACAATTATTGAAAATTTTCTAATATTCTGGAAATTTAGCAAATATTGCACAATCCCCGCAGAATGTAAATTATTGTAAACATTTTGTATCGTAGAGGCGAGATGGGGATCAAAATTACAAAAATAAAAACATTTTGAATATTAAAAAAAATTCATAAAATGGGCGAGTATTACATGTTATAGAAGATGATGAATTATTGGTTAAATTTTGCATAGGCGAAAAATTTCGGCACCAAAGTAAAAAAAAAATGTAAACTATTTGAAATTTTCTTTCATTTTTGAAAATTTGGAAAATATTGTTGGAATTGTTGAAAATGACAAATTACCTGACAAATTTTGCTTAGGAGAGGAAAAAGGGAATGTTAGAAAAGAAATGACAGAGAATTATCACATAATATAAATACACACCCACTGTTCTATGTATGTAGAAACATGGGAAATAACAACATATATATAAATGACATAAAAATGAATTATAAAGAGTGGAAACATTAATACGCAAAAATTTTATAGTTAACAATATATTTGATTTCATATTAGGAAATGACGTGAAAAATATAAAAATATTGGAAGATAGTAAAATTCGCGAACGCTGTCAAGGGAACGAACGAGTAAGACACTTCGTTTCAGAGAACGTTTGAAGTAAAGAACAACAGAGTACGAAAGAAAATTGAATGAGAAACTAAGTAGTTATTAAATTTTAATGTCGATTGAATTGTAAATTGAACAAGTTTATATGGGAAAGGTCGATCCGCGTGCGCCTTGATATCGCCCTAGTTGAACAAAAATTTGTTAGTTACTAATAATGAGTAATCAGTTCCTAAGGATCCGCATCAAAGTAATCCAATTCAAGTTCAATTTGCACAGCTTGTACTATAAATTCCTAAGAAGACTTATCCTAAGAATTGAAAATTCTTTGAATCCTAAGAATTGAAAATTCTTTGGTACAAGAAAGTATCTTCCTTGAAGGACGCATCTTTCGCCCCCCGCGAGCAAAAAAAACTATTCATCAGATTTTACCATCTTTTGAATTGACATGAGAATATTTCCTTGCATCAAGTAAATTTTCTGTGCCCAAATCTTCTTTCCGCTTCTTCTACGAAAAATATGTGGAAGAAAATAAAAACTGGAGAAGCTGGAATGTTTCATTCAGTATTTTGCTAAAATTTCTAACATTGTGACATCACCCGCTATTTAAATTTATACGTGTTCAATCAGATGACGATATAACAATGCTAACTAATGCTATTAGTAGTAAATAATAGAATTTACCGAAAATTATAATTGTTGAAAGACATTTTTTTCTGTGCAAAGAACTTCAATTTAAATAGAAAGAATCCAAGAAACAAATAATTAAAAAATTATTGGGGGAAATGGAAGTAATAGCTCTTCGATTCTACAGCAATGAAATAATTAAGATATAGCAAATCCTCTTATGAGGGGAAAATTTTTACACTTCAATTCGCTGCCTGAAGTATAATGCACACGGTGGCAGAATAATTTTGCAAGAAGGTGCCTCAACACGATAAGTCAAAAAAGTTCTAAGGAATTATGCAGGGGAGCTAATGGGTTTAAGTGAAAAAAGTCAGAATATTTTTATCTCGAAGATTTTTAATTTTTCGTACGACGTAAAAGCCCTGTTTCGTTTCAAAGTTGAGTATCTCCACACGATTATCAGTTATTTTTATTCTTTATTAGTGTCGGAAATTCAAGGCCAGTTTTTATTATTCTCAGAGCATCAATTGTTCATAATTTTTATTCGTCTGAGTTTATGGAAAAATTTCGTACTTGAGTGATGTATATAATTGTAAGAATTGTAGAATGTTAATTGAAGAACGTCTTCAAAGACCTTTTTTGTACTTCCGTAAATTTCTGTAAAAAAAAATCTTTTGATAAATACTTTTCAACTTCATTCAAATTATCGATATGTGGAATAGAAATGAATTGATTGTAAAAGAGCAAATTCATACCAACGCATATCCTGGATTTTTTTCCTAGGCCGCAGATTTTCGTGCAAATTCTTTCTGATCAGTTAATCTAAATGTCGTTTACTCAATTTCATTATGTGTTCAAAATACTTCTAAATTAGTGATGAATGGATTTTCTAAATTTTTTATTTATATTTGAACAAAAAAAAAAATAAAGAAATTGGATTTTCCAATGAAAACTTGAATTTTATTTCACTTTGAAAATTGATACATCACGTAATTTTCAAACAGATTAAACCATTCAATTTTTCAATCTAGTCCTCTAAACAAACATGAAAAGAATGGAAGAAACTGCGCCCCGCGTAGTTAACGGGTCACAGACCATGCTCACCTTTAACCACAAATAATCTGAGATCGTAGTGCAGTGAACGATAACAGCATTTCTCACGCAAAGTGATTTGTTATTTCTTGAATTAGCATTATCATAATTAAGCCCAGGCATTTGCGATTAGATGTAGAGTGTACATTGACCTGAAAGGGCACCTCGAATGTCAACGATTTTGGATGTTTTATTGCATTTATTGCGTGTTGATGAAATTATGGTTTTTTTCTTTTTGCAGATCGCACCCTCGGCTAAAAAACTGTGGGGTGTGGATGAGGGCGGTTCCAAGGATGAGGGTGGTGTCAAGGGAGGTGGGATACTTCATCTTGGAGATCATCAGATGTGGCGAGATTCTACCTGGAGTACCCCAGGTAAATTTTTTCATCTTCGTGCGCTAAACTTTCCGCCGGCCATTACTTTATTTAATTTTTTATTCATCCCCGTGATATAAGCGAAGACAAAGGCGGATGGAAGCGACACCTCAAAAAGATGAAATCAAAATTACATTAGAAATAGAAGCGATGGAGGCAATGGGAAAATCATTCAAACAAATAATGAAGTTTAAAAAAAATTAATGAGGGCTTTTTTTCAATTCAATGAACTCTATAAACGATTGGTTGACGCTTTACTGAAGATTGAGTTTTTGAAGTGATAATTAGTTATTACTTATTAATTTATACGTTTTTATGAGTTGGTGAAGTTCATTTACTGAAACAGGTTTATTAAGAAGTATCGATAAACCTGTTTTATAGCGCATTTCAAGGTCTAATAAAAGTCTCGTAGCATGTTTTCCTCAATTTCTTAATTTCCTGGTTCTATTTGCTTTTTCCTTTGAATTGTGTCAGTTGACTGAGAGATATCAAAACATGTGATTGTAGCCTTCTAACCTGTCAAAAACTTCTCTCGTTAATATTTTTATAAAAACTCTTCATTTATAGGCAAATATTACCAAGATTTTTAAATATTAGATATAATTTTTTAGAAGAATTACTACATCATTCTGTTCTAGGTTACCGTGAAGGGATAAGTTTTGCGATAGGGATGAGTTGATGGACAGTTAAAGTATTACGCTAACAACTTTGTTAATGTATTCGTTTAGTAAGGCAGCGACGCATAAAACTGATTATTGATTAGTTTACGAGTCCATTTATGCCTTTTGGAGTCGAAATTTTATTCAATGCATTAACATTTTTAACTTTCTCCATTCCCTCAACACTGCATAACTCGTCTGTCCAATCTTTTTCATTTTGAAAGAATCTATAATATTTTCTGACGTCGTACTAGTTTTCCATAGATTACAATGAGTCAAACCATCAGTATCTAGATTTGGAATAATTAATTCGTCCACGTAGTGTTATAGAAAACTATTTAACGATTATCCGTAAAAAATCTGGAAGATCATTTTTATTTCTATTAACCTGATTATTGATTAAAAAAAGATTATCCATTTTTGTTTGAAATATTGATAACATTAAGGCTTTGAAGTAATTGATTTTACCCCGTACTTATGAGGATTTTTATTGTTAATGGCAATTGTATTATAAAAACACTGGTAAGTTTGAATTACAAACACTGTTTAAATACTATGGCTTAAAATTTCCATGGAAAACGGGATTTGGTAACGAATAATTGGCATGGATCTTGGTATTCGAATGCAAGACTTACATTTCGAGATAAGTTTAAAAATTCAAATTGTTATTGGAAATTAATCATAATCCATCACGGGAAATTTGATTTTATAGAATTTTTAAGAGGGAATTTCAGGGAATTTCAGGAATTTCAGGAGTAATTTAGTTTGAGATTGAATTCAAGTTGAGAGTATTGCAAATCCAAAGGAATCAATGACTCAAATTTCAAGAACTTTCTCCCAGTAAAAGCTAATTATGTACTATACATGCTCGACGTATGAAACCAAATCAATTCCAATTTCAAATTTGTAACTTACAAAATTAAAACATTAAGCTCGAACCATGAGATATCCATGTACCCGTCACTTTCCTTCATTTACCAAGTAATGATAGCCTATTTCATCCATCGGTATTGTTTGCAAAATAAAAAGACTTGTACATATACGAAGTTTGATGAGTATGATGAAGGGGTTGCGGGGCCGGAGGGTAAGGGGGTGGTAGGATGGGTGCACCGCGGCTGTTGCCATGACGACAGACGCCCGGCATCGGCTCGCTACCTGGGTGGGGGCAACGTTCCAATGCTCAGGCTCGTACCTAGTTATCAAACCCTGTCTACTTCATCATTATCATTACCGACCCTCTAATTAACCACTAATAATCGGTTATTTGAAGATTGCATTTCCACAAGAGCAGATCAATGAGAGTTAAAGTAAATAAAATCATTACCAACAATAATGAAAATCATGCCAATGACATCTCATAATGGAGAATTATGCACTTATTGTAATTGGTTTTGTATTTATTTATTGCAGATCATGCTGTCTCACAGCCAATCTCGATGGGTACTGGAAGACGAGTTGGTGTTGGTACTGGATATCACCATCAAACATCTGAGGTTGGAGCTGTACTCAGTCCCAGAAGCAGGTGAATATATTGAACTTCATTCGTTGAAATCGAAGGAGGAAACGAAATGGAGTTGATAATTATTTTACATACGTCGTAGAAAACATGAGGTTTATAATAAAATGTCTAATGATTTTGTTAGAAAAACCAAAAAACAATAAACTTCAGTTTCTGAAGATGAATCCTCATGGCTGTCATTGATAACGCTTTTTCGCGATATCTGGAATGGCTATGGAATTTGTATGAAAGTTTTCATAGGTCTGAAGTTTCTAGTTGTCTTATTCATATATTCTATGAGGAATATTCTTGAAATATTGCAAGGCCATGAAAGTTCATCGACATTCCCTCGAGTAGAGAATCTTAAGAGTTACTCAAAAAATATCTCCAGATTATTTGATAAGTTTACACACAATTTTTCATCGATTTCTAAAATTATGTTTCATGCAAAGAAATGATTATTCGTCTTCTACCTTCAGTGAGACTGGTGGCCTTGGGGTTAAAATGGTTGAATACGTACTGGGTTCAAGTCCGACAACACCGAAAGATTTGGAGCCTCGAATGGTTTCCCTTAGATTGGTAAGATTCTTTTTAAATAATCAAAGTAAACCTTTGATTTGACCTGATTCATTTTTTATTTGACTTGCAGAACGATAGCACCGATAAGAAGGAGAAGGATAAAGGTGCAGCGAGTCCATTTGACGGATCTAAAGATGATAATGGACCTCAGGGCAATGGACTTGCTTCTCAGAATGGTCTCGATGATGAGAAAGGATTCAAGTATGTAAATTCACATGTAGAATCTTTTTTTCGCGGTGGGGAGAATGTCGCCCATTTACTTTTATCCCTTTTCTCTCATTCTTAATACTGAAACAAAAAAAAAAATAAAAATAACCAGGTGAATTAAAAGTTCATTGACGAATCGAAAGTATTCACAAAGTTAAACCCCAATACGTATTTTGGGGTTTGACATGGAATGAAAGATCGATCGAGAATTAATTAATAGGTTATCCTTAAAATATCTTGAAGGAAAGTGTATTGGTAGTTGAAAGTTTGAAAAATAGTTACATTCTATTTGGTTCAGAGTGTATTAAATTCTGTGCAAATTCATTCCTACCATGGCGTTTTTGTCAAAAACATGTTGAAGATATTCAAAGGATTGAGGAAAAGTTTTCCTTCTCGTGTACATGTATTTTTAAAGAAATTTTTATGCTAAAAAATGGGATTTGATCTGAGAAAACTTTCAGTGCAAGTCTTATAAGAAATTGTCGCATTGTTCATTAGGTAGTTTTATCCTTTCGTAATGAAATTGTAGGAATAAATCATTGATAGAAGGATATTCCGACGTAATGCCTCATTTTTACGTCAGTTTTGTTACACCATCTATTGGAGCTTTCATTGAATAATACAATGCAGAGAACTGTTTTATCTGCTCTTGAACAAAAGGTTTCACACCGACGAAACTATTTAACATTTAACTCATTATGAATTCTTAAAAGAATAATTTATTTTCCAGAAAAGGCCCTAATCCGTTATGAGCAGCAAAAAATCATTTTTTCTTTGTTTTAAAATATTTTCCATTTTAATGCAAGTGGAGAGAAGTTGCAAGTGATACAAGTTGTTTATTTAAGTTCGGTTTTTATTTGATTAATCATACAATTATCTCAAGGATTATGTATATAGTATTTTGTTAGGAATTCCAGTGACTACAACGATTTTAAGGCCCTCATGGGCTATCTAACGTATGTCTAGCGTAATCTTTTGTTTGAATTCTACCTTGTTAGCCTGCCACATATTAAAACCTGGTATACATATTGTGGTATGAAAATCACTTTAATAACCACACCACAATTTGTATACCAGGCTTTAATATATTCTAGGCGAACAAGGTAAAATTCAAAGAGAAGCTTACATTCGATGCATAGTCTATGGCGACCTTAAATGGTTTTTCAAGTTTTTCGAGTGTAAGAAGAACTCTTCAATTTCACTAACAATTGTGCACTCAACAAGAACGTAATCATCATTTCACATCATTTTACAGATGAAAATCTGTAATAACTCCGAAATGGACGGCCGAGGATTATATGTATCATCAAAGAATTTTGGTTGAATTTGCACTCAATCGTCTGTTTAGTATTTATTTTTAGTTCAATGTTGCTTTAGCAAATTATTTTCTACTGCAAATGACAATCAACGTGGGAATAGACAAGAAAACTGGCTAGTTAAACCAAATACAATTGTCCAAAAAGTTATCAAAAAATGCAGTGAACGAATGTTTTGAACAACTCCCCATTTGGTTTATTACGGGAGTCACTTCAATGGTTAGGAAAAACAATGATAAAAGAAGATTGAGATATTGATTCCGAGAGATCTTCCGAGTTTACAGAAATATAATTGAAAATACGTGGTTTAACATCCACCATGATGGGGGAAATAATATATTTGACATTACATAACAGTTTAGAATCAAAGTGGAGTAAACGTTATCAAAAGTCAAATGCGTATTTTTAATTATTTACCCTGAGGAATCCCTTGAGTTGGATACTAAAGGTATTATCTTAATTTTTGATTATAACGAGGTGGAAATTTTATTGATGAAATCATTGCAAAGAAAACTTTCAGTATAAAATAATGGACAAACATTAATTTCGATACTTGCAGTGACGTTATTACTTCTATTCACATTCGTATAACGGTTTTTTAAGCATATGGAAAGCATTCTCTTTATTTTCTTTTATACTCTGTACTCATGCCCAGGAAGTTGAAAACAATACTTACACCATAATGTGCAGTTCACCGTTAGTGAATTTAGAGTATGTGCTCTATTTAAATTGACTTCAATTAATTGCACCTCTTTCAATCTTTTCAGCATAGAAATAGAAAATAATACGGAAAGAGATAGAATCGAGCAAATTAAATTAAATGAATTAATAGGAATATTTTTGTCTACTGTAGCCGTACTCCAGGAAGTAGACAACCATCACCTGGTGAGGAAGAGTTCCAAAAGAATTCAGGGGCCACACTGGCTGTTAATACTGGTGCTGGTGGCGTTGTCCTGTTGAAACCAGGTGATGTCGTGGGGAATGAAGAGCATTATATGACGGCATTTGCTCCAGCACCACATCATCTTCAACATCATCAACCACCGACTCATCATCTTCAGCATCCTCATTCACATGCTGCTCAACTATTTGGTGCTCAGGGGCCACTACCACCACAGGGACCACCACAGGCTCAGCAGCAACAGCAGCAGCAGGGACCGCCGCAACCACAGGATACCACAACTCATTTTGATGTTCAGGTAAGTCAATAATTTATTCGCCGAGTGGCACCTTAAAATTGCGTTCGAATTTTAAACTTTCCGTCATTTTGCGTGATTAAAGTAATGACTTCGAAATTATACATGGAGTTCGATGTATTTTTTTTCTCTTTCTATCTTTCTGGGCATTTCCATAATTCACCCAGCCGAAATTATGGGATTGGGATTGTTTTCAAAATAATTGATGAATATTTGTATATAATGCATTACAGCTAAATTTTCAGCGAAATTAAGTCATGAATTTCACTCTTTTCACGGAAATGGGACATTTCAAATTCTAAATTTACAGTTTCCTTTATATGTCTCTTTCAGAGACATGCATACCTTCCTAATTCGAGTTAAAATTGCTAATTTGAAAAATTTCAATTTTAAATTGAAAATTGAACAATTGGAGATCAGATATTTGCTTCAAAGTTAAAAGAAAAACAACACTCGTGTCAGTCTTTCTAATGCGAGGTGAAATGTGATATGTGAAACTTAAGAAATTAAAATAAAAAAAAACTGAAATATTTGGCAAGAAATTCCAACATTCTGAATTTTCTTTTGCTAAAGGAGCGGCTAAGAAAAAAAAATTCGATTTCTCACCACCAACAAGAGAATTTCACTTTTTTACTTATATTTGGAAATATTTTGATCTACGACTTTCTGTCAAACGAAATGAAAGTTCATTGCGTTATCCCGTTTCTCTATTCAATGAAATTGTTTTTCTAGAATCACTATTTTCCCCAATAAATATGGAATACGATTAAACCGGGAAATATCTTGACTTCCAACACTTCGAATTCTCTCGAACTTTTTTTTTATTAAAAACTCTTTTGCAAATCGCTTCAACACCAAAATATTCGCATAGGAATGTCAACGGAACGTAAAGTAGACCCCAAAAAGCTTTTGATAAATTTCTTTAGAGCGTTTCCCTCTCAAGCTATTTGGGAAAATGATCTGCAAACTCATTTTAAGCTCATCCTCCTCTACCACTTTGTGTTGAAAAGAATACTAGCCCCTGACGTCATTCCATTACAGACTGTACTGTTAGTCTTTAACACGAAGACTCAATACCAAATGTAAAATTTGTTGGCAGTGTTGGCAGATGTACATAAATCATTGTGAGACAGGCCCACCTACTTTCGATATTTCGAAGAGCGTAAAATAGAACGAAACCCGCCAGCACCAAAACTTTTCCAATCAACTCATGAACATTTCCCAGACATTTAACCCCACAAATCTAAATTAAATTTCGCTTCTGATAAAACAAATCAGTCAATTAATTTTTCAAATCAATTAAATTCAATTTACATGCCATTAGATTATGTTAAAGATTCCCAGACTTTTTTTTTTCATGCTTTCATGAATTTTTGTAATTCCGCACAACCTTGGCCTGTCGATTAATATAATTTGGCTCACGTACTAAGGCCCAATAATTGAGTATTATTAATTCAACCGGTGCGTAATGAAGGTCTACAGAGGTTTACACACGGTATAAAGGGAGCTGAAGGGAGAGGCGGGCTGCATTAGTTAGTCAACTCCATTGTCGTGTAATAAGCTCATAAATTTCGCAAATATAATTAGGGCACTACCGTACATATGTGAATATACCTAAAAAAAATTGCTGATCCCCGATTATTGATAGACAGATAGCGATAATTTCCTAAGAATTTCTCAGTATCTATTCAGGCAAAAACGTATTGTCTCATCCTTCTGGTTTTGTTTGGTTTTATTGATTTATTTATTTATTTTTTTTTTCATGAAGTACGAAATGGAATGGTGAGATTGAAATTGGTGAATTGAATGGAAATTTGCATGACATGATTTGCTTTTCTGGAAATAGATGGAAAATGAATTGCTTGGAGAAAATGTATCCAAAACATTTTGGGTTTGGAATCTTTGTACTCATCAAATCTCAATTTTTCGATTTTTTGCGACAGAATGACTAATTATATTCTTAAGCGCTTGGCTATGGCGTTTTTAGACCATGCCCGTATGTATTTATGTATTGGCTGAAAAGGCTTGAATTATGACTCGGAATAATCGTGTGGATGTTGGTTTGATCGAGATCGAATGTTGGAGATGGTTGCTTTGTTAGTTTCTGAGATCTTCAATTTTAAATGTTCTCCGAATGTTCAGCTTTGACGTAATGTTGGTGCAATGTTGGGATAAGGTCAACTCAAGATCAAACTGCTGGTGCAATGACCTATGTTTAAGCCAAGGTCACTGAGGTACACCCAAAGTCGGCGTTGATCAATGAACTGACAACATTCGTATGAATGCGATGTTCATATGACATTGAGGCAGTGTTCAACTGATGTTGAGCCATTTAAAACCATTGTTGAGATTTGTTCAATGAGTACGCAAAGTATTCGTTGACATTTTGATTGTGAGAGATTCTTAAATCTCCTAATGTTGAAGCAATGTTAACTGAAATTTTCGGAGAAAAATGCACGAATGAAAAAAATGATCAAGAGATATTTAGTCTTCTATTTTCATTCTGTTGACTTTGAAAATAATTGTGTATATGTAGGAAATGAGGGGAAAGGGCTAATTGCGTTGAGGAAATCTTCTCTATCAATTTAACAATCAGAGTGAACGAAAGAATGCATTCATTTTTTCCTATTTATTCATTTTTTTTATTTCTTTATGCCCAACAGTGCATGAAGTCATTCCCGCGGCTTTCGTACCTCATCCCCTCTCCTCCTCCTTTTAGTTTTTCAACGTTGAAGAAACAGTGCAACATGTAGTGAATAGTGCGGATCAGGTTGTTGACTTCGTTCTGCCCATTCAACATAAAGTGCAATGACTTTATGCTTAGAAATTCTTTTTTTCGATATGTTTACAGATTGTAAACAGTCTGTCGCGGAAATGTCCCCTATTGTGTGAAAATTGGGATTCTCATGTGTAAAATTTGCCCCAACGTTTTTGTTGGATTTCCATGAGTTTTTAAGGTCAAATCAAACTCTCTTCGTTGTGTTTTCTGTACAAAATTGATGGGATGTTACCGATAACATTGAAATTCACATTGATTTTACATCTATCTCCTAAATGCCTCTTTATATGAAAAAATATCATTAAGGACGTTTAACAATTTGCGGTAAATAGAATTTCCTCATTTTCAAGAAACCTTCGATAATTCGGAGATCCTCGTATATGTCATACTGTATAATTAACATTCAAACCATCACACAAGGAAATAAACATAGTATTATAATGTGTATTAAGTACTTATATTATTTGTATGCTGTGCAGACAGAAATCAATTTTTACCCTGAGGAAGTGTGAGAAGTTTATGTTGTGTTATTCATTTGTAATAATTGTTAGAAACCGTGGAATGCCCTACATAATGAGGAAAGGTTCCATTCTATCATTTTTATTAACTACAAACACAATATTTGCAATTCATTTTTTATGGGAAGGCTAAACATGGACTCTGGATTTGAATTTTCATGAAGACAAAGATTGACATTTTTTCAATTAACATTTACCATTTAAGCAGTTTTTTAAAATCTTTTTTTTTATTTTTATTCATTACTAACAAATTTAATAAGAACATTGCCCATTTAACCAGTTTTTAAATACTGACCCAAAGAGATTTCATGTGTTGCTACTTTTTGACAAGATACCGGTATTTTTTTTCTATCACAGCTGTCATTGATGCATTCAACCTGAACAATTGTGGTGTGTTTTCATCTTTCATGTGTTTGAAGGCCTCGAGAAGAGCTTGTCACTCATGATGATGTATTTTTGGCATTCCGGCAGGGGTTTTATGTAACTTGTTAGGACTCCTGGTTCCTCTTGATTCTTTAATTACCGTACGTTGTATGTTTTTCTGTGTCGTAGTCTTCCAACGATTCTGACATACGTGCCATTTTTTCCAAAATCCAGTGCCAACACCATTATTTCTTAAAAAAAAAATAAATTTTCAATGTACTTCATGAAACAATTTGTGCAAAATATATTTAGCCCCAGTATTTTCCTTTCTCTCTTTTTTCTCTTATCGAGTGCTTCCCAACAATAGTCAACAACTGTACTACCAATATCGAGTTTGCCGACGATATTTGCACCAATCAACGTGAATTAATGGTATCCGTGTTCTGTCGTCATTCTGTCATCAAGTACTCTACCTCTATGTTCCCGAAGTTAATTTATAATACTCCCGGGTGTGTATATGGAACGAAAAACTTCATTCGAAGGTCACTCGTGTGTCTTCAGGCAACGTGAGCCATTTGTCGGTGCTATGTAGACACCAGAGGCCCATCAATTTGAAGATGTGACGACGACACGAACGTATCCAATAAAGAATAACCCAGAAAATAGCCAATTACTCATTTTCTTCTATACTTGGAATTATTCAATTTGTGCAAACACTTGATTGAAAATACTTTCCTACTGTATGTCATTGCATAAATAACGAGAGTAAACATATTCAATCATGGAGTGAGACATTTAAATATTACTCTGGTGACATTCTGGGAATAGGGTGAATAGCCCAATTCAGTAGCGAAACGCTAAAGCGGGTTGAATCGATTTTACGAAAATGAGTTTATCATTGAAATCAATTCTTCATACTAGGCATCTGTGATAGAAACCATTTGAGTCTAATCATCTATTTAATGTGTTTCTCGTAATAAAGTTAAATGCTTAATTACATTCATTTCCATCTACTTCAAATCAACTTCACTCTAAAAAGATGAATTTCCAAAAGGAGTTACTTTTACTCCCTTTGAAAATTACTTCACGTTAAAATAATAAAAGGAGCAATTAAAATAATAATGAAGAGCGATTTAAACAAATAAACCGTTGAAGGCGTCCGATTTCTCCCATTTCTGGACACACGGATAATGTTTGTTTTATTAATGAAATGTTGTTGCATTTTGTATTGAAACTATTTCGTGAAGATATGTGTATTAAATAAATGATACTGAAAGAAAAATCGACAGTTTTTCAAACAAATCTTGTTGAAATCTGACAAACCGGCAGGTTAAAAACTGTTC